GGATACTTCACAAATCTTTGAGCACTTATAGTGATAACTTAGATCACCGTGACTTTGTAGCTGACAATATGCTTTCCTTACCAAGCACGTGGCTTATTGTCCCCATTTAAAAGGTAAGGAAACAAGCCCAGAGCCATGACTTGCCCTGTCCATGGTCAGCATGAGTGGTGAGATTGCGCCTTGTACTTGGCCCAAGGCTGGGTGTTATGTTTTCTATTGTCCCATGGAGGCTGTGGGTTCGAGGCTCTGCAGTGAGGACAAAGATGAAAAAGCCAAGGCCTCCATCATGAAGGAGGGATTGCTCTATGTTTTAGGGGTTGTATTCAGCAAATTCTAGAGTTTTCTCCCCCGTGATTTCCCTGTTAGCTCTTTTTCTACTATTTCTGTCTGAACTATAAGCACATGTTTGAAAAATGTAACTCATATTAAGTACTGATTTCTAGAAAGCCCCAGGAGCCAGCCCAGCCTGGTTAGGTTTGAGCACAGGGAAGGAGAGGCAGATGAATATGGGCAGGGGGACCGTGGCAGCCAGGGGAGGCATGGTGGCTGTCACCAGTGGGGACAGACTGATTCCATGGCCCTTCGGATCCTGGGAGAACAGCGAAGCTGGTGGCTCCTTGCCTGCCTTGCTGTGGTTGTCTTTCCACAAAGCCAGCCGCCTTCCAGCCAAGGGCTGAGCATCAGGCCCCTCCATCCTCCTGCACAGGTTGGTTCTAAAGGGTTTTGATGCTGTACAAGGCGGTTTGTTTTTTTCATCAATTCTTTGTGCCTTCTTGCAGCTTCTCCATAGACAAGCTTAGCTTTTCATACCACACACAACTTTGGAAGAGAAGTCAGTCTTCCAGAGATTAGGCCCTAAGTCCTCAAGCAGCTTTAGCACTGAGGCATCCAAAAGCCAAACTCATCATGAGTACCTCCACCCCCACCCCCCCAAGGGAATTGACCACCTCCCTGTGTTTGATGTTATGCTTTGTCAGATCAGCTGCCAGGCCCCCTGTTCCCCTTGGGGACAGAGAGGAAGGGACAGGCATGCACCTAGACGTCCTCCCAAAGAGGAGGCTTTGGATGGTTCAAGGAGGAAAGCTGAGGCGAGGGACTCTGAGACGGTGTCATCAGTGAGGTGACTGCTGAGATCTCCTTGAGAGGATGGGAAGGGGTCCTTGGGGAGGGGGGAAGAGCCTGCTCTGGGCAGAGCAAGCCAAGCCTCATTGGGACCTCATTGTGTGTCAGGTTCTCGTGGGCAGCTAGGTGGCTCAGTGTATAGAGTGCTAGGCCTGGAGTGAGGAAGACCTGAATTCAAATCCAGCCCCAGACACTGGCTGTGTGATCCTGGACAAGTCACTTAGCCCTATTTGCCTCATTTTCCTCATCTCTCAAATGAGCTGGAGAAGGAAATGGCAAACCACTCCAGGAGTTCTCCCTAGAAAATCTCAAATGGGATCATGAAGAGTCAGATAGGATTGAACAGCATATATTGTAGCAGCCAGGAAATGGAGGTTTGATCCGGGAAGCAAGTCACTGAGGTATATGGTGGGTTGAAATATAGGATGATCAATTGACGTGCCCTTTCCAGAAGGATGGCACTAACTGACTTGATGGGGGAGGGAGGGTATGTAGCAGATGGGGTGGGCCACCTGTGTGGGGGGCTTTTTGGATGTGTTCTGGTGTCTAGGCCCTGTCAGTGCTCATCAGGTGGACTAGTGGCCAATCAGCTGGACTGGGGAGCTGCAAGGTTGAGCCCCATAGGGACTGGGCCCTGGATTCTGTGCCTGGACTGTGGGCCCAGGGTGCTGAACTCTGCTCTTCTGGGGGAGGATCGCTCATGTAAGGTAGGCCTTCCTAACCCTCTCTGTGACATGAACCTGTTGGATAGTCTGCTGAAGCCTGTGAATCTCTTCTGAGAAGAGTGTATAAAATAAAATGCGTACGATTACAAGGGAAATCAGTTATATTGAAATGCTGTTATCAGAGAAGCGATTATAAAAAGGTCTAGACCCCAGGTTAAGAACCTGACTTTACAAAGAACTTGAAATTCTCTAAGTTGATCCTTAAAATCTTCTGGGTCAAGGGATTATTTTTAAAGTAAACCACAATTATTTTGAACCAAAAAGGGACTTTTACTTTGCCTCGGGCTTTCAGTATGGGCTTGAAATGAAAGTCCTTTCACTTCCTACTTTTGTGTCCCTGGGCCAGGGCCTTTGCTTCCAGACATGCACCTTGGGAATCCCCAGTCCCATTTTTCTGGCTTTTGTGCGTTTGTACAGTGAGCGTGCTGCCCGCAGAGCTGTTAGCCCAGACCTGGAGAGCTCCGCTTTGTGTGTGTAGCTCTGCTGCCACCTGGAGGGGACGGGGCGCCATGGCGAGGCTGACATCGGAGCCAGCTTTGTCTAGTGGTTCATGTTGCAGAGATGCTTCCCGTTTACTCATGGGAAACATGTTTCATGACTGCCCCGGTCCTGGCTCGATGCTTTGATAAAATAGCCTTGTTGTTCAGTCATCTTCAGTCGTGTCTGACTCTTCGTGACCCCATTGGGGGTTTTCTTGGCAGAGATACTGGCGTGCTTTGCCATTGCTTTCTCCAGCTCATTTTATAGATGAGGAAACTGAGGCAGACAAGATGAAGTGACTTGCCCAGGGTCACACAGCTAGTAAGTGTCTGAGGCCAGATTTGAACTCAGGAAGAGGGGTCTTCCTGCCTCCGGGCCTAGAGTTCTGTCTGCTCTGCCACCTAGTTGCCTATACATTTGTTTTCTTCCATACTTCACCCTCATCTACAGAAGAGCCCTATGACAAGTCTCATGGGACAGTGCCCCCCAAGCAAGGATCTTGCTCAGAGCCTTGTGCACAACAAATAGCCTGCTTTTTTTCAAGGCCTCTGTGTCTGTAGGTACTCTGACCCTCATGAAACAGTGGCCTCATATTGAGCAGAGCGCACACTAAAGCATTCCAGGAGATCACGACAGGCTCGACAGAAGAACACGCACCTTTAAGGTCATGAGATCGTCACCCCACGCTGTCCCACAGGACAAACGTTCTTTCCATTTTTCAGACAAGGAAACACTCTCAGAGGTGCGGCGCCTTGGCCAGGGTTACACTGCTAATAAGCATCTGGCAAAGAATTTGAACTCATGGCTTCCAACCCTCAGAAGGCACTGCTCTTTACTGCCTTTTGAGTAAGAGCAAGCCCAGGGTTGGGAACCAGAAGACCCACCTCTACATTGGTGGCCTCAGGCGCTTGAGTTTTCTGAAACTCCCTCAATGGTTCATCCACTAAGTAAGAGGCAGCTCTGGCATTGTGTGACAGGTCAGTACAGAGGAGGCTGCACCAGGAAATAGCTGGCATGAGCAGAGGCCAAGCTTGAATGCAACATGCTGCAGGGGCTGCCTGGCCTAGAGGAGGGGGACGAGGTGGCCGTGGCAGAGGCACCCAGCCCCTCGAGGGACGCGCTCTTTTCCAGGAAGCCGTTTCTCTTAGTAAATTTCCTGGAGGGGAAGAGAGGGAGAGGTCAAAGGGAACCATGTTTGTTCTTGGAAAGGAGTGACGAGAAGCCACACTCAGGGTCACAGATGGCAAGTGGGGCCTGTTTTGCAGCATAGCTACAATGTAGCTGTAAAAATGAGGACTATCAGATTAACTCTCGGCTTTTCCCACACTTTAGAGTGAGGGACTTTTTAGTTTAATGTTCATGAGACAGTAGTAGCTCCAGAAGGGACCTCTAGAGCGCCTCCCATCTGAATTCCTATCTACACCTGTCTACAGACAAGGCCGCCATCGGTTTGGAACAAGCCTTAGTTATCAGCAGGGTCTTCCTTGAGTCTACACGAAGTTGTTGTGCCACTTAGAACCTGTTTCTTTTTTTATCCCCTGCAGGCCACAAAATCTGAGATCAGTAGGCTTGGAAGGGTGAGGTGAAGAAAACGTAGGCCAGAGAAGGATGACGGCTTGCTCACTGGCTGAGTGACTGACAGATCTAGGCCTGAAACCCCGGTTCTTGTGGCCTTGTGGAAAATGACAGGTCCTCTTTCTGCTCCTCTATGGACTCCTGGAGCTTCATTGTGGTAGCAATGACCTTGTGGTCTTGCAGACTGGGCCCGCCTAGCAGCGAGTCTAGAAGACCTTCCCCAGTCCAGTCTGTCCATTCAGTCAGCTAGGGTTTATTAGGCCTCTCCTGGTGCTCGGTTGAACTCATTTATTAAGTACCTTAGGGAGTATATATTCTCTTGAGGGCTTCAGGGCTTTCTCTTCTGGCACCAGGCTGGCTGCGTGATGATTGACTTTCTCAGCCACAGAAGCTCATAAAGAGCCCCCACCAACTAAGGCGTCAATAGGGACGGTCACGTGTATCAGTGGAAGGGAGACTCCAGCTCAGGAAATCCTGGAGAAGTCAAGTATCAGATTGTAAGCTCCTTGAGAGCAGGGACTGGATTTTTCTCATTTGTATCCCTGGCACACTTTGAACTGAACTGAAGTATAAAGTAACCATACAAACACTAGTGGTCGCTGTATAATAATTTTTTGGCTTTTTTTTTTTAACCACAGTTTTGTATTCTTGTTGCTTAATATTGATGAAGGATGCACAGTGTTACTTAGAAGTGTGCTATTATGCCAGCCACAGGGGATTTGGACCCTGTCCTCTGTAGCGTCCAGCCCTAGCTCCTTTTCAGGAGAACATGCCCTGTTTTCTTTTAGTGCAGTGTTTATCTGTTGTCTTCTCTCCACCATTTCCCGGGGCCTCCAGATGCGGAGCCCTTAGCTGAGCACAATGCCCTCGGGTGATTGCCTGAGCAGTGGTAAATGAAGCAAGAAGAGGCCTGGGTGCTTTATGGGCCACATGCTAGTGGAGGCATTCCAGTACTGTGGTGAATTTAAAAAAAAAAATAACCTCACCATATTGCTGCCCTCCTGATGTGCTCCGCTTGTGCTGAGAAGGAGGCTCAGGGGAGCCTCATTGGCAGTAGATGGCGTTCTGAGTGTTTCTCTTCCTCTTTTCCTTGCACAGGTCTGGCAGATCCCAGAAAACGGACTCACTCTTTCCCTGACTGAACCCGTGGTGATTTTGGAAGGCCATTCCAAGAGAGTGGGCATAGTGGCGTGGCATCCGACTGCACGCAACGTTCTGCTCAGCGCAGGTATGCGCGGCTCTCCTGGCTGCCCTTGCTGAAGGCCTCCTCTGGCAGTTCTCCCCTTCCGGCCTGGGCCCTCCTTGTTGGCTTTTGTCTTTTGGTTGGTCCTCCCTGTCCAGACCTCTAGTCCAGGGTGGTGCATTACCATTCTCCGGGCCACCCAGACCGTGTCTCTTCTTCCGTCATTGCTAAAGCAGGAGGCTGCACGGAGCTGAGGTTTGTGGCCAAGAGAAATTTGTCTCCCGATGGCTCCCCTTCCTGTCTGCAGGCCTGTATTCAGAACCTTTCCAGCTTAGGGGAGCGTGCTGCCTCTCCTACGGACACAGCCTAGTAATCTGCAGGCACTTCCAGTCCACCCATGAGGCATCGGAGGAGGAAGAAATGCCTGTTGATCACGACACTCAGGAACTCTGCACCCCGTGTAGTACGGGTAGTGTGGGCCTGAGAGAGGCAAAAAAGCCCCTGCCCCCAAAGAGCCCTGAATCTGGAGGGGAGCTTACCTCCTCTCAGGGGAGGCAGCTGGTACATCTCTCAGTAGACACAGAGGGGATGCAAAGCACCTCAATACAAGGAAGTTTGGGAGAGAAGGAGGGCGTGAGAAGGTGGGGAGCGGAGGGGACTTACAGGGGCATCAGGAGAGCTTTATGTAGAAAGTTGTATTCAAGATGAATTTTTTTTTTTAAATTTGGTGAAGCAGGTGGGATTAAGTGACTTGCCCAGGAAGTGTCAAGTGTGTGGCTAGATTTGAACTCAGGTCCTCCTGACTCCAGGGCTGGTGCTCTATCCACTGCACCACTTAGCCTCCCCTGAGATGCATCTTGAAGAAAGACAGGGATTCTGGGAGGTGGGAGTGAGGAGAGAGGGCCTGCAGCCTGAAGGGCAGCTATTCTAACTTGGGAGGGGCTGCTTTTCGGGGGTACCCAGGCCTCGATGAGAATGCCACAGTGTCAGGTGGTAGACCTGAGTTCTCCTCCAAGTGCAGCACGCTGCAAGGTTGACATAACGTTTGTACTTTTAAAATGCTGAGACTGATGTAAGAAATGAGGGGTGAGGCAGTGTCTGTTTAATTGAGAGTGTTCTTTCCCAGTGAGGCTCCTGTGTCCGTGCCTGCTGCCCCATGGGTCTGCTTTTGTGCCACCACCCCTTTGTGTGTGCCCTCAGTGATTCCCTAATCTCTTACACGAACTTTTGTTTGAATATTTTTTGAGATCTTGGGGGAAAATAGCGTAGGAGAAAAGTATATTCTCACCAGTAAGAAACAGAATAATTGCTAACATTTATATATAACTTCCTCTGTGCCAAGCACTCTGCTAAACCCTTTACAAACATCATCTCATTTAATCCTTACGGCATCCCTGGGAGGTAGGTGCTATTGTTATAGATGTAGATTTTATAGATGAGGAAACTGAGGCCAAACAGATGAAGTGACTTTCCCCAGGGTCACACAGCTAGCAAGTGTCTGAGGCCACATTTGAACTTGGGCCTTCCTGACTCCAGGTCCGGTGCTCTATCTGCTGAATCGCCTAGCTGCCCCTGACCTTACAGGGAAGCCCAGTTGAATTCTCTTTAAGGTTCTCTTTAGCACTGAACCTTGGAGATTTGCTCTTACTTAGATGGACAATCAGGGCTGAGCAGGCAGTGACACCCAGAGTTCCTTTTTTCCCAATCTTGTATGGTGCTTTTCTGTTCTTTTCAGGTTTTACATTATGTTGCTCAACCTTTTTTGAGAAAGACACTAAAAAAAACATTGAGATATGAAATGCAGAGTTCATGGTGAAGTCTTGGAGCCCTTCCTGGGCTTGGCCCAGACACCTGGTCTTAAAAGAAGAGAGAGAATTCCAGAGGTGGGACTCCCTCCTGGCCACTGCCCTGTCCTTAGTGGCCATTCAGGTCAGACAGCGGCCGGGAGCAGATGGGCGAGCGTTGGTCTGATGGGCAGCAGAAGCCCCTGGGCAGCTCTCAGGCCCATCCTTGGACTCCGGCCTCTTTGTCCATTAGGCCTTTAGGCTCAGGGCCCAGTGGAATGCACGATGAGGAAATACTTTCTGGTCATTGCCCCGTCCCATGTACTCATATCCTGACAACAACAGACCTTCCAGCTCTCAGGCGTTCTCCAAACGCTTGTCAGTCAAGACAACTCAGGGCTGCCTTTTTCTTGGGGCATCTGTGCTGACAGTTCCAGACTAATTAATTTTGGGGTTCTTATGCACTGTCAGCCTGCTCCTTCCTCTCTCTCTGAAGATAAAGATCCTTGGTGAATCATAAATCAAATAGCTGCAAAGATTTTTGTCTTGCATTCATTCTTGGGAATAATTGATCCAAGGACTCATTTGAGAGTGTCATCATGGATTGAGACCCCCTTTCCCTTTGCTGAGTGGCTTCAAATTGATGTTCAGTCCCTGCTCACCCCCCCGCCACGCACACACGTTCTTTGCATTCCAACATTTCTTTTACTCTGAAAATAAAATATGCTTTCTCCTTTAATCATTCAAGAACCATCCAGCTGAGTTAATAAAAAATTGAGTGATTCAAGGGTTGCTGGCTTCTCCTTCACAAAGATCGTTGTTTGTTTATCAGTCAGTTTTGAGCCCTGAATAACCAAAACTACAGAATTAGAAGTGTTGGGAAAATACCTTAGACATCATCTAGTTCACGCCATCTGTTTTTATAGTTGGAGAAATGGAGGCACAGAGCCTGGTGGTGGAGCCGGATTTGGCCGGCCAGCCCCTTCCCCTTTTCAGTTCCTGTCACCCTCTTGTTCTGCTTGGGTTTTCCATCGGGTGTGTTCACACTTTAATGGAAGACATTTCTTCCTTCAGGTTGTGATAATGCCATCATCATCTGGAATGTGGGGACAGGGGAAGCCCTCATCAACCTGGATGACATGCACTCAGACATGATCTATAACGTCAGCTGGAACCGGAACGGCAGTCTGATCTGTACGGCTTCCAAAGACAAAAAAGTGAGAGTGATCGACCCCAGGAAGCAGGAGATCGTGGCTGTGAGTACCGGGGCTGGGTCTCCGGGGCTCTGAGACAAGAGTTCATGCTGTTCCTTCTTCATTTTTTTCCTTGCCATTTTTAATGGATGTATTTTGCTGTGCCCTCAATCACTTCCCAGTAAGCAATCTCCCCTGGTACTTTCCCCGTTTAAAAAGGTCAGTTAAACTGCCTGGTGTAGTGACGGCAGCCATCCGCGCCTGGCGTCATCATAGTAATACGAGTGGAGACCAGCCTGAGAGACAGCCGGACTCTCCTCCCTTGGCGTGCTCAGGCTCGATCCCGTGGGACAGTAATGCCTCCTGGCTTCCCTGCTTCAGGCTGAGGAGACTGCAGACGTCCAAAATGCTGGCCGATCGGGTCACTCAGTGCTCCTTCCTCTCCTACGGTTTAGGAAAATCTTTTAAAGTTTTATTCTTGTCTTGTTTTTGCATTATAATAACTTCCTATGAAGTCAACCTGCCTCCCAACTGAAACCCCACATATCCCCAAAGAAAGCCATTTGATGGGGGGGAAAACCACCCAAACCTCCAAACCCCAGTGGGAGCACTGGTCCATTTGGTCTCATTAGAGCCGTGGTGGTGTTCTCCTGGGACAGTCCTGCACCAGTGTATCCCAGACTTCCTCTGCAGCTCTGCCTGCCTCGTTCTCCCAGCACGGCGATCTTCTGTGGATTGTCTTTCTGTAGCACGGTGTGTTTAGACGCCCTCTGGTTGAGGACTGCCTACTGTGACCATTCTGGTCTCTATGAGCCCTTCTTTCTGCCTCTGACACCCTCAGATCCCTGAGTCAAGGGTGGGAATGGCCTGGTGACGTTTCTGACGCAGTTCCATATTATTTCCAGAATGGTTGGACTAATTAGTGGCAGTGTGTGACTTTATGCCCGTGTCTTCCCACAGCCCTTCCATTATTGACTATTGAACATCTTTGCCACATCTCAGGGTAAAGTTCCACTGAACGGAATGAAGCAAAGTAAACCGTGCCCCATTGTGAGAGGAATTCAGTGCTGTTGTCCCCTACCCCCCAGTTCACCAGGGGCCCAGGGCAGTGCTGGGTGGGCTCCAGTTTTCCCGCTCGGCTGCACCACCTTCATGGGACTGAGCAGCAGCAGCTCCTTAGGAATCTCGTCGTTCGTAGCTACATTGTCGCGGGAGTGCTGGGCCGGATTTCTCTTCCCCATCATTATGGCAGATCCCTCTTGTGTTGGTCACACGTTCCCCCAGGCAGCTGTTTGGGGAGGTGTCGAGATTTTTCTTGGTGAATGTGTTTCAGGAGAAAGAAAAGGCACACGAAGGAGCTCGGCCCATGAGAGCCATCTTTTTGGCAGACGGCAACGTCTTCACCACTGGCTTCAGCCGCATGAGTGAGCGGCAGCTCGCCCTCTGGAATCTGGTACGATCCTTCCCAGGCCACGCATTTGCCTCCAGGGTTTGCATGTGTATGCCCGGTTGTGATGGGTGGCATCAGGGTCTAGTGGCCCTACCTCTCACCCTTGACTTAAGCAGAAACCTCCCAAGTCCCCTGCTACAGCCCCACAACATCTCCAGGAAAATAAAGTCCTTGACATCACGGACTGTTTGGTCTCCATCCTCCAGTACCCAGAGCATACAACCAGCATTTATTAGTAGAACTCTTCACTGCAGAAAACTGTTAAATTAGCTGAATGATGAGGCCCTTTTTACCAGACCTGGCAAAATGGTCATTGGCCTGTGCTTGAAGACCTTCAGTGATGAGGAACTCATTACCTCCCCACCAGTGTGGCCAGTCAGAGTCGGGCTCTCTGTAATGCACGTGATCGTGGAATTAGAAGGAACTCAGAAGGCCATCTGGTCTAGCTGGCTCATTTTATAGATGAAGAAACTGAGGCTGAGAGGGGGGAAAGGGTCCCAGATTTCAGTCTGATTCCTCTCTTGCATGAGAACCTGTCACATATCTGAAGTCTGTTCCCATCTTCTCTAGCTAAAAATGTGGTGCCTTAATATCAGCTGTTAACCTTCTTCACATTTACTTGTAGAAAAACATGCAAGAACCTATCGCCCTTCATGAAATGGACACCAGCAATGGCGTGTTACTGCCCTTCTATGACCCTGACACCAGCATCATCTACTTGTGTGGGAAGGTAACCAGCGCCGCCGTGTGTGTCGTCGCTGCTGGGCCTTGGGTGGGCCCTCAGCCGAAGGGGTGTGGGCATAGCTTGGAAGGGAGTGTGAATCTGCTTTTAAAAACCAAGGGAAAGGCAGGAGGAGGGTTGTGGTGATGCCTGCAGGTACAGTCATGTGTCTTGGGCCGTGGCAGTACCCTGTGTGTCTTCACTGCTGATGATCCCAGTGTGTCAGGAAGGGCTCCGTTTGTCACATGCAGCAGAGGAGTCCATTGCCTGGCCCTCGGTTAGACGACATTTCATCCTGTTGCTTCAGGAGTTCCTCTTGAGAATAACACGTGTGTGTGGGTGGCATCACGGTGCCCCAGGGACCAGACAAAGCCACGGGCATTTAGTGAGTGCTGTGGTGTGCCAGGCACTGGGCTGGGCACCAGGGGTACAGAAGAGAGAGGCCCTGCCTTCAGGGAGCTGACATTCTAATGGAGAAAGGCCGCACATGAAGAGGAGGAGCTGAAAGGGGGGCAGGACTGATGAAGGTGCCCAGATGGGGGGCGCACAGGGCTCCAATCTGGAAAGCCAACGAAAAGTGGTTGGCCTGAGCTCCTCTCCAAAAACGGGGGCACTGAAAAAACTATCCAGTGAGAGAAGGGGTCCAGCATGGGAGGTCTCCAGTGAGGAGACCCCAGGCACTGAAGGTAGTTCCAGGGGGAGGTGTCAGGGTGGAAGTGCACAAAATCAGAAACACAGCCAGGAGAGGAAGGGCCCTAGAATGGGAGTGAGCCCTGGAGTCAGGAAGATCTGAGTTCAAATCCTGCCTCAGCCACTTATTAGATATGAAACCGTGGGCACGTCATTTCACTTTTGTCTGCCTCGGTCTCTTCATCTGTAAAATGGGATGATATCACCCACTTCTTAAGGTTGATGTGAGAGTCAAGTAAGATAATACGTACATAGCACTTTGCAAACCTTAAACCCCATAGAAATGTGAGCTGTGATTATTAAAGACTCGTGCACCGTCTGGGTGAATTGTGACCCTTCTTTTAAACCGGAAGAAATTAATTCTTGCCAGCTCCACCAGATCGTTCCTTAATGTCAGCAGCTCCCCTTCTGTGGATGGGGGATGACGGGTCTCTGTTTCTTCTTTTCACAGTGACTGAGCATGCCACAGAAATTGGCTTTCATTTTTCAGGGGCAGCAGCTGTTTGTCTTTGGAAAATAGTTCATGGAAAAGACTGATTATTATTATTAAGTGCCTGTGTCTGAACTTTGCTACCACCGACTTCACCAGCCACACGGCCCAAGATGAGCCATTTCTTGCACATCTTTATAATTTCTTGGGAAAGTATTTCCGATGTGCTTTTGAAAGTATTAAAGGCTCCTGTGTGCCAGGCACTGTACCAGGCACTGGGACACAAAAGAGAGTCCCTGACCTCAAGATGCTGATGGAGGGAAGGAGGAAGACAGTGGGTAAAGAGGAGCCACTGAGGGCCTGAGGGGCAGGGCTGCTGAAGGGGGAGCCTTTTCTCTTCCTTGACCTGTTGCTCCAGAGCCCTGTCCCCGGGATCCTCAGCAGCTTTATTTGTGTCTGTCTGGAGCTCCCTTCTCCTCCCCTTCCTACTCCTGCCCTCATCACTGTCCGATTCACTTTTTGGTTAGCCGCAGCAGCTGCTTAGAGGCCAGCAAGGGGACTCCCTGCTCTAAACTCACAGTGTGTCAGTTTAAATAAGCTGAGCCTCAGTTTTCAGATCTGTAAAATGGGGGTGGTAGTGCGAGTCAGTAAGTCACCATTAGTTAAGTGAGGCCGATCTCTTGATTGTGCTCCTGGGCTTCCAGACCTGGCATGGTCTGATCATATTCCGTCCATCTTGAATTTTTATTTGTGCGTCAATGTTTCATCCTCTTTATTTTGGAAGTCCCAGATGGGAACTGAACTCCAGTACAAAACTGTTGTCTTAGAATCCGCTAGCGTATGTAGTGTGGCAGTAATCCATTCCCTGGATTTCATCCCGTGCGCTGGCCACGTCGAAGATAACAGTATCCTTTCTGCTTTCACCTGAAGCACACAGAGTATTGCTTTTGTAGATAATCCTGGAGACTTGGCTGGCGGGAACATCGGTGTCGGTGCGGCTTAGCGCCACCCTGCGCATGAATCCCTGACCCTCACCTTCAAGGGACAAAGACTTCTAGGGGATGGGGATCTCACTACTTGAGGATGGGATTCTTGCAGCGTGTGCTTCCGATCTCCATCCACTGTCAGCCCTGGGCTCAGTGGCCAAGCAGGACAATCCCTCTTCCATGCCACCAGCTGCGATTGTCCTTTTCTTTTTTTAAGACTGAGGAATGCGTCCCCCCCTCACTTTCCTGTCCCGCAGGCTCAGATTCTGTGCTACATCCCGTAAGCTCTTCTGCGGCCTGGTTCTGAGCCTCTTCCCTAAGGGCTAGGCCTTGGAGGACAGACCCGGGCTGCCGTGGCGCTGGTGGAGAGGAGGAGCGGCAGCCAGCTCCCCTCGCCGGTGTTTGGGTGTGGGCTCTCGCCCACTGATGGGTACAGGGAGCTGTTCTTGCCTTCCCGCAGGGTGACAGCAGCATCCGCTATTTTGAGATCACGGATGAATCCCCCTATGTCCACTACCTCAACACTTTCAGCAGCAAAGAGCCTCAGAGGGGAATGGGGTACATGCCCAAGAGAGGGCTCGACGTCAACAAATGTGAGATTGCCAGGTAAGAGGTGCTGAGGCACGGGGTTGTCCTGCGCCGCGCACACCTTTCCAGGGTTCATGCCCGGGGCGGGTGGTCTTTCTTGTCCAAGCTTAGTTAATCACATGGGAGAATTTAGCTCTGCCTCATTGGTTCTCAAACATTCATTCACCAAACGTTGAGTACCAGTGACGTGCCCAGTGTGCTGTGCTGGCTGAGGAGAATGGGGTGAGCCGTGGTCCTTGGCCTTAGGGTGCTTAGAGCTAACATTTACATGGCGCCTACTATGTGCGGGGCTCTGGGTTAAGCAGCTTACAATGATTATCTCTGGGAGGTAAATGCTGTTATTATCTCCATTTTACAGGAAACGGAGGCAGGCAGAGGTCAAGACCCCAGTCTTGGTGCTGTATCCACTGAGCCACCAGCTGCCTTTTTGTAGTCAGATGAAATAGGGATACTGAAAACCGTGATACATATTCAGCTGGAGGGTGCAGTGGATAGAGGACCAAACTTGGAGGCAGGAGGACCCGAGTTCAGATCTGGCATTAAACACTAGGTGTGTTTGTGCAAGTCCCTCAATCTTTTTCTGCCTCAATATCCTCATCTATAAATGGGGCTCAGAAGAGGGCCTCCCTCCAGGGCTGCTGTGTGTGTGAAGTGCTTTACAGCTCTAGATACATGTAGCTCTTTGAATAGGTGGTGAAAGAGAGGGGCCTAGGTGGGTCAGGCTGGCTGAGCTGAGGGCATGGTTCTAGATGTCATTGGCAGAAGAAGAGCCAGTTAGATGTGCCCAGCCTGCTGCCCTGAACCCTGGCCCCATTTAAACTTTCTAATGGCATCAGCTAGCGTGACCAGCTGGACCCTGACCGCCTCAGAGCAGCTTTGGGCTAGGATTCAGGATTGAAAGCAGGAAGCTGTGGGCACAGAGAGGCCTCTGCCTGCGTGGGAGGTTCAGAGGGGCTCAGCGGGGAGGCCCCTCACTGTAGTCACACTAAAAAGAGGGTCACATTTCTGGGAGTGGGGCGCACTTGTCAAACAGCTGTTGTCCTCATCAATACCCAGAGCAGTGCCACCCCCCGTAGAAGTGTTGTTTTCTTGCACCCCTTGTTAGCTAGCGGTCAGTGCAGGCTCCCCATTCTCATTGCTGGGGGTGGTCCTGGAGGGCTCTGGTGATCAGGGTGAATGACTCGCTGGGGCTTTTTTGACTTAATATGTGTGTCTGTAAACCTCAGGGAGGCTTGAGCAGGCACAGGGCTTTGTAGAAATCCTGGATTGGGAGCCACAGCTCCCCTCTCCCCAATTTACTGTCTATGGGATGGGAATGGCGCTGCCACCAGCCTTGCCGCCCTCCCCCCAACATGGTGGGAGCTCTGGATGGAGTGTCAGCCTCCCTTTCTTTAACATTCTTCTCTTTCTTTCTTTGAAGATTCTTCAAACTTCATGAGAGAAAGTGTGAGCCCATTATCATGACTGTTCCAAGGAAGGTAAGGGGCTGTTTTCCAGGCGGTGGGGGTACGATGCCCACCCTGCCTCGCCTCTTGGCTCACCTGCCTTGCTCTCTTGCAGTCCGACCTTTTCCAGGATGACCTGTATCCAGACACAGCAGGACCCGAGGCCTCGCTGGAGGCAGAGGAATGGTTTGAGGGCAAGAATGCCGACCCGCTCCTCATTTCCCTGAAACACGGCTACGTTCCCGGAAAGAACCGTGACCTCAAGGTGGTCAAGAAGAACCTGCTGGACAACAAGCACTCAGTCAACAAGAAAGGCGGCCTGATGGGCCCCCCCAAGGGAGTGGCTGATGGCGTTGGCACCGTGGTGAGTGGAAGGGAGTGGTGGCGGCAGGGGGTTGGGGCCTGGCCTGGCCGTGCTGGATGGCCACCCCCACCCCCACCCCTCTCTCTTAGACCATGAGAGCTGGACAGGCCATCAAGTCCAGCACCCTCATTTTACCGATGAGGAAACAAAGGCAGGCAGTGGTGAAGTGAGGTGCTGGGTCTTCCAGAGCCCAGGCTTGCACCTCTGAGGGCTTCAGAAATAACTGGCATCTTTGTAAAGCATCAGAGCTGTTGCTTCAGTCCCGTTGTTCTGTTGATTGGGAGGCACGTCCTCTTGTGGGAGAGGTCTAAAAGGAGCTCTGGTTCTCTCGGGCTGAGTAAGCCCCTTAAGGGGTGACGTTGTCCCCTTGGCGGATGAGTGGGTGCAGCCCACCGGGGAGCAGCAGCCCCTCACACGCTGCCCTGCTCCACTTCATGTTCTGGTCTGACTAACGGGGCGCTGGTCACACCTGCCTCCGAGAAGGAGGGAGCTAAGGGGACAAGCCCCGCTGCTGGACTTGTCATTGTTGCCATGAATCCTGTCCAAGAGCTCCCTTCACCCCTGCCTGCCAACCTGCCTTCCTGGTAGCTCAGTCATCGAGACAGGCCTTCAGGTAGGCTGTGGCCACTCTGGTGAGGGGCCTAATTACTGACATCCTGGTCTTGAAGACCTAAAGAGACCTGGGGTGATGCCGAGCCCCTTCCCAGCTTTGGGAGGCCTTGTGGGAAGGGGAGCTGGAGTGCAGAAGGAAGAAAAGGATTATGAATCCTGAAAGTGTAGCTCAGGTCCCTGTTTCTGACAGCCAGATTTGGGGGGAGTGAGGTGCTGTTAGAAACCCAGACACTTTGGTGGGATTTACTCCAGAGTTCTAAAAACAGTTTTCCCTGTGTTTTCATCCTAGCCTTTAAAGACTTAACCATAGGCGTTGAGTTTCCCCAAGGCCATGGGGACCACTTGAATTTCAGGAGTGGGGCTTTTTCCCATTCATGAGATCGTGTTGCTAATACTTGCTCGTGGTCAGTTGCCCTTACAAGCTTCCCTTTTTGTCTTCTCCTTCCTTAGCAAAATGAAGCCAAGTTGGACGAGATCCTAAAAGAGATCAAGTCCATCAAAGACACGATCTGCAATCAAGATGAGCGCATTTCCAAGTTGGAGCAGCAGATGGCAAAGATAGCCGCATGAAGGCACAGGAGCTGGGAAAGTGGGAGGGAGGCAGGAGGCGCTGGGGGAGACCACCAGCCATCGGCCACGTTCCCACGGCTGGTGCGTGAGTGAGCCGCCATTTAAAAAGTGGAGCTTTTTATCAAAAGCCTTTCTGATGTTTTAAGTGTTCCGTGACTGTTTGTTGAACTTTAAAGAAACAAAAAAAAAAGTGCTACTTTTAAAGTTCCAGATATTCTGAATTTTGGAAACCAAACCATTCAGATTCAGTGTTGTGCCCAGGCCTCTTTTTATCATTATTGTTGTTGTTGTTGCAGAATAGGGACCAATGGATGCCACGTCGCTCTTTAGAGTTTGTTTTTTTAAACTTGCCAAAACCAAAAGGAGCTTTTTTTCCCCTCTGTATTTTGCTACTTTGCAGTATTTGTGTGTGTGTATTTTTCCTTAATTTGAAAGGGACAGCACTGTGTATGTTTATAAAATGAAGATAAAATATTATTTTATATAAACATTCATCTTAGAACAATCAGAGCAGTAGCCACTTTGTGCTGCCTTGTCTGTGGCATGAAGGGAGTCAGGGGAAGCGATCCTGAGGGCGGCCTGGCCCAGCCTCCCCCACTTGGGTTTTCTTGTTTCCCTTAGGGGGAAACCAGGCCCCATCCCCTTCTCTCACCTGCTCTAGACGTTGGGCAGTTTTATCATCGTGCCGTTGGACGTGGTGTTTGGTCGTCCCAGGCCTCGGGCTCTGGGGCGACGGCTCTGTCCAGGCTGGCGTGGCTGTTGGCGTCTTGGCCGTTTCTTACTTGAAGCATCATGTTTTCAGGCTTGGGGCTAGTGCCCAGCAGGCGTGGATGCCCCAGGACAAGGACGTGGAACCGTGCTGGGGCACTCACCTCACAAAGCTCAGAAGGGGAGCGTGGATCCTGTAGTCTTGCCTTTTCTGTTGTTTCCCAGTCTTGCTCTGATGCCATGCCAGAGGGAAAAAAAGATTGTCTTTCCACTAATGAAGCGCCCTTCCCTTTGCGAAGTCCACACATACAAAATGACTGTACTCAGGGCCCCCTCCCCCCCTGCATTTTGTTCTCCCTCCCTCTCTATTTCAGACATATTTCCCATTAACCTTCTGAGACCCATGGACAGACGGTGCTTGGTGCATGTTGAAGTGAGTGGTCTGTGACAAAGATAAGAGTGGTAAATTAGCTGGGGTCCAGTCAGGGCCCTCCTTCAGCCCCTCTCCCCATGCCCGGGGTTGCCCCTTTACCACCTACAGCACCGCATGTGCTGGAACGCTCATCCTTTCCCAGGGAGGCAAGTATCAGGCTCCCTAAGCCTTGGGGCAACTGAAGCCTGGGCTCTGTCCGTCTGTCTTGTGTGTAGTGGAAGGCTTCTGTGGAAGGACTGAGTGTCTCAGGTTGGATGTGGAAAGTCTGACAGTGGGATGGTGCAGGGAGCTTCCATGGCCGCTCGTGTTGGTGGGGAGAGAGAGCCCAGGGTCTGAGCAGAAGAGGGTGCTGGGGCTCGGCCAGGCTGGCCCCAGAGTCTGAGGACATCCAGGTGCGTGGTGTCTCCGCTTTTGTACGGAAGTGGATAAGGAGATAGTGGAGTGAGTTGGCTGCAGAGAGCTGTGTGTTCCATCCATGCAATCTTCCAGGACCCTTCCATTGCAAGATTGGGGCGCAGACCTGATTGCTGGTGGAGGCAGGATGCTAGGAATATCGTTCTGAGGTGGGAAGAGAGCAAGGAAAAGTCATTTTGATCGTCGTTTGTTGCTTGTGTCTTATTTAAGTGAACGGATGCCTAACTAGGCACAAACAGTCAGTGCCTGAAGCTGGGGGGTGGGCAGGGGGGTGGCTGCTTCTTTTTTTTTTTCCTTTTTTTTTTAAAGCCGTGATAGCCCAGAGGAGAACCGGTGAATTATCCCAAGATCGGCTCTTATAGAGCGGCCATAGTATTCTGTCAAAATATTTGCTTCCATTTTCAACGATAAAATCATTGATTACAAAATTGTCTCCGTGTTTATTTCCTGCCTCGACTTTGATTTTGAGGCTGCTGCCTCCATTCTGTTTCACAAAGCTGCTCTCTCGGGGTTACTGCATGGAGAACACCAACTGCACTTCTCTTTTAAGGGTAAGTATGAGGTGGGGAGGGGGTGTGTGTGTGGGTGTGTGTGGGGGGCGGGGTGCCCCGAACAGGAACAGCAGCAGGGTCAAGCAGATATCACCTGGGAAGTGGTGGCTCTTTGGACAACAGGACGGGACTGAGGCCCAGTGTCCAGGGCCTTGCCGCTCATCTGGCAGCGGGGGGAATGAAGGGATGCAGTGCAAATCCTACCTCTGACTTTGGGCTGCACTTTCCTCATCTCTGAAAATGAGGTATTTGGACCAGACCTCTAAGGTTCGAACAAGAGTCCAATGAGAGGAGGACTGTGTGTGGTTGCTTTATTCCTCCAGGGGGTTTTTAGCTAGGTGGGGTGGGTTTTTTCCCCCTCAGCCAGCCAGCACTTTCCATGGAATCTCAGAAAAGGACTTTTCCCCTATCCCAACGTGTTGTTTTTGGTTTTGATGGGATGAATGTCGGTACAGAGGGCTACGGTCTCAAATATCTTCTCAGGAAAGTGTTTTCGTGTGTCGTGAGGGCAGGGTCAGGCAGGAGCAGCCGTCCCACTTGTGACTGCGGGGAGGTGGGTAGGAAGGCTGGTCCTGGCTGTGAAGCCACTTGGCTCTGTGCCGATCAGCAGTGTCTGAGGCGGGGAGGCTGCTCTTGATCAGCAGCAGACAGTCGGGCAGACCTTGTCTGGGAGCACTTCCGTGTTTTAAAGTTTATTTCCCTTACTATGTTTAAAATCATCATCTATTAAAAGGCTGTTTGGGTTTGCTTTTTAGGAACTATTAACTCCAGGACCCCCTCAACCAAACAGTGTCCTAATAAAGGCAGTGAGTGCCCTTGACTCTTCAAATGCATCCCCCGCCCAAACCACTCATTTCCATAGGATCAATCACAGGCTCACAGAACTTAGAGATGACAGGAGTTAACCTAGTCTCCCCTCATTTGAGAGAGATCTGAGATGAGGAAACTGAGGCCCAGAGAGGGGAGTTGAATTAATTTGGGCCACCAAAGTCACACAGATTGAGAGGACTAATGACGTCAGCAGGGTGATGTCTTGGCTTGGGAGTGAATTGGATTTAAGTGAGGCAGGGCTCGGCAAAGTCACAAGCCTCACTCTGTCTTCCAAGGTCATCAGACTCCTGGAGCAAGACATAGGTCAGGGCGATAGAGATGACTGGAGATGACCCTGGATGCTGTGGGAGACCTCTGCCTTTTTGAACTAAGTTTGTCTGTGATTAAGGCTGGGTAAAAAATGGGACAAAAGGTGGCCTAGTTTGCCTATTGAAAAAAAAACAAACCCTGGGAGGTGAAGACCCTCAGGGTTTCTGGCCAGAGCAGAAACAATTGCTATTTACATTCACTGAGCCATCTGAACCCAGACAGTGAACCAGTGAGGCTTGGGCTGGGACACCCCATCAGTGAGAGCCAGAGTGATTTGAGTTTAAAGGCATAGTCGGTAGCTCCGTTTGAATCCCCATGGGTTTTATCAAAGCCTGGTTTACCAGAGCTGTATTTCAAGAAATCATGAATGAAAACTACATGAGACAAAAGAGTTAATTGTCCCAGTTGTTTTTTTTTAATTATAAAATTAATGGAGAGGGGAAAAAAATCTAGCCTTCAAACCCCAAGATATCTTATGAAGTATAAGCAATCAAAACCACATGTAAGGATATGACTAACCACCTGGGCAGAGGGAGGAAGAAGAGGGAGGAAATAGCAGCCTTGACCAACTGGAACCAGCTAGTTGGGTCCCGGGGGCAGCTACCACTCCAAGTCCTAAGTGTAAGGGCTAAGGGGTGAATTCACAAGGCCTCTGGCTTTTCCTTGGAACCAGAGGCTCATGGGAGACGTGCGGTTTGTATGCAACAGAAAGATTGGGTGGGAGGGAAGATGTCAAATGTAGGTAAGCAAGAGGACCTTGGAATCCAGTGTGAGGAATCCCAGTTTGGCGCTGAGACATTTGGAAGCTCAAGAATTTGGAGGAATCTGTTAAGATTGAAATTGGGGGTGAGCAATGACCTTAGAAGAGGCCGTGTGGTGTAATGTAAAGAACTCGGATCTGAATCCCTTCGCTGGTATTACCTTTGTGACCTTGGGCAACTGGACTTTTACTTAATGTGGGGGGTAGGGTCAGAGGTGGACTAGGTGATTTCTAAGGTCCCTGCTGGCTCTGTATCCTATGACCATGTGAATTTGATGCCACGTCAAAGCCCCTAGATCCTAGAACCAGATCCTACATGTGAGGCTGGGAGGGTCCTTAGAAATCATCTTATCCAATCTGCACCACATTTTAGAGGGAAAATGGAGCTCATGTAAAGAAGGGAAGTGATATGCCAGAGGTCATGCAGTAGAACCAACACCGTTGCACTCAACTCAACTTACCTGCCACAGGTTGGGATGTAGAGAGGAAACATTGACCTGGGATACTGGCTTAGAACAAATGGGATATGGGGCAGCAGATTTTAGGGGGAGACTAGAAAGAGTAGGGTTACCCATTGGACAAGAGAGTGAAAAAAAGGTAAGATTTGCTAGAGGCATAGTGTTGCCATCTCTGTCCTAACTTGCAGAGGAGAAAAAGGATCTAGTTCAGATGGCTGGTGCTGAAGGAGGAGGCCAGTCAGGGGGAAAAGGTTCCTGGAATAATTTAGTGTTACAGGAGAAGTATCTCCCACCAAGTCCATATGGTAGATTACTGCTGCCAGATAAGTCTGCCACAACAAATTGTAGAGGTAACACCCTAGGTTTTATTACACGTAAGCACAGATGTGGGATTCAGAAAACCCCAGACAAAGATTGGAATTTCTGATAAGCCTTTATGAGGAAAATGACAGCAGGTTGGAAAATAAATTCTTTTACATATTGCAATCTCATAAATTCATTCAGGCTATGCAGATTCATAATCCCATGTTTCCTTTGGTGTCTTTAAGGTTGAACAAATTAGTAAACAGTTACAGATTTAAGTACTGAGTTTACGAAATCCTACATTTGTAAAACTACAAGGCTGAGTTTTAAAGAAGTCACAATGGTTTGATTGAGAAGAAGGGAATTTACTTGTCACAAAAATAACCAAAAGTTTGGTCAGGGAAATTCTTTAAAAAAAAAAAAGATACCGTATTCCCTTCTTTCTGTCCTCAGGAATGTCAGAAGTCTTCACTTAATGCCATTATTTCATTTATCAGGTTTTAGCCCAATGAAGTTAATACTAAGAGGAAACAGGCTTCAGTTATGAAATGTTCCAGGAAGAATGGCATAGTAAACATTGGATAAAAGGGAAAATTATCATCATATTTAGCTCACAGGTTTTTCTGCTCTAAACTAGCTAGGAAGGATAAGAACCATGGGTGGTAATAACTGATTGATGTAAATGTAACTCAAGTTTGCAAAGTGTTTATTTCAACCTCACCTGCTTTTTGAGATAGATTT